CAGCAGTACTGTATCAATGCTAACTTCCTCTCTCTATGGTTATGTAAGGTGCTCACTTCACAGGAAACTGGATAAGAATACATAGAAATTTTCTATAGTATTTTTGCAACTTTTGAAAATAAAGGATAATAAAGTAAAGTATAAGTAAAGTAAAATAAAGTAATTTAATCCCCCCCCAGGTTGGTCCCTTGTGTTTCTTTGTGAGCCAGAGAAATTGCAGCAAAGGCATAATCTTCAAATCAGCCCCTCTACTTTTCTAACCTGGGAGAGGAAGAGGATATCATAATTTATTTTTTTAAGCATGGCTGAGGATGTGTATTTCCATTCTCTAAAAATTACTTAATGGGAGAAAACTGAAAACATGTACAGCGCACTAGTTCTCTTTAAAATACTGGAAACCTCTCCTCTTCAGGCAGAACAGCCAGAAGGTGATGTTTCTGATGAAAACAAACAAGCAAAATAGTCATTTATCAATTCTAGCAAATAGAAATGGATTCCTCTTTTCTCCATCCTCATTTGTTCTCAGTATAATGACATTTATAAAAGCTATTGCCTTTCAGATGCAATATATACATTTCAATGTTCATCCATTTTCTCTTTGAATATTGAAATACAGTACATAGCAGGTTCGTGATAACCACAAGTGTGTTCCAAATACTGGTGTCAGCAGGCGGCATGGAGGTTAAGGTGCTGGATCCTACAGAGCTGACTTCACCATTTGAGTCTCAGATCTGGTGGCTTGAAAATCACGCTGCGTTTATGTGCATGTGTGCCCAAAATCCCAAGAGGAGACTAAAGGAGAAGAGGTTGTGCCATGGCCATTCCCTTAGAGGGTTGATTTCTCACTTCCTCTCTCTCTCTCTCTCTCTCTCTCTCTTTACCTTTCTGTCTCTCTGGCATGCTCATGTAGCCTATAGCAAAATTGGGGGAAAAAAAGTATTTTAAAACTGAATAAATAGGAAAGCACCATTAGGATATTGCCCTATAAACTCCTACCCTCCCACAAAAATGTCTTTTTATTTTCTTACATCCTTCCCACCACTGGTCTCATTAACCTTATTTTTTTTTCTTTTTTTTTTTTTTTTTTTTTTTTTTTTTTTGAGAGGTTTTTGCTATAGGGCGTGTGAGCTCGCTGGAAAGACAGAGAGAGACAGAGAGACAGAAAGCAAGAAATCACCCACGGGGGGATGGCCACGCCTCAATCCCTTCTCCTCCATTCTCCTCTCGGGATCCTGGGCACGAACGCACACAAGCCCAACGTGAGTTTTAAGCCACTGGGTCTGGGACTCGAACCGCGTTTGACTACATGGGTGTCCAGCAACAGAACCATTATGCTAACTGCTGGTCCCTCATTAACCTTATTTCTCATGCACTATCAAGGGCTTTGGCAGGAAAGATAGCCAATATCTACTGCTTGGAAGACAAGCCTTTTCTAGTTTAAAGAACCCTCTCTTTTTTTCTTCTTCTTTTTTTGGTGAGATTTTTGCTTTAGGGCATGTATGTGCTCACTAGAGAAACAGACAGATAGTGCGAAATTACCTCCCAGGGGAGATAAACACCACAATCCCTTCTCTTCCATTTTCCTTTCGGGACCTTGGGCAGGGATTGTGGCATGGCCATCCCCCAATAGGGGATGATTTCTCATTTTCCCTCTCCAGCAAGTGCATCTGCTGGTCCTGAGCCCTCTTTTAAAAAATAAAATAAAATAAAATAAAATAAAATAAAAAAGTTAGTTTTGTCAACTGAAAAATGTGCCGTGGGTCCACTGAACTGTAGCTTCCTCCGTTCCCTCTGGACTTGCTGCTCAGCTGACCTCATCCACGTTTCTGCCCTTTGCCCAGGTTCACATTCAGAACGCCACCCTTGCTGGGGGAGTTGCGGTGGGCACCTGTGCAGACATGGAGATTCACCCTTACGGTTCTATGCTCATCGGGAGCATTGCAGGAATCATCTCTGTGTTTGGGTACAAGTTCCTGACGGTAAGTATGACAAATGTGCTGAGTCCAGCTTTGAACCTGCACCATTATTGTTTCACATTCCACCAGGGGGGAAAAAAAAAGCTATGACGTTTTCTTTCATAAATGCTCTCCCTTGTTTGGAAGCCACTGCCTTCCTTTCAGAGTACTACGTACACGTCCGTGACCCAGTGGTTCTATTTTTTTCCCGACTTCTGTGTAACGTGAGGGAGTCTTTTATCAGTTATTTACAATTCACTGTGAAGTGGATGTTAAGCACTTGTCTAACTACTTGAGTACTTAAACGCTGGCACAGTTCCGCTGAAGTTTTGGGTCGTGGCGGTTTACTTGTGTTGTATAGTTAAGGACGTTGCTGTTTTAAGGGATTTAGGGTGGCAGCAGTGAGTGAGAGCAGAAGGACTTGAAATCACTCACCTTTAAACCCATCCCATTAAAGACTAAAGACAGTGAATTCCAATTCTTTAGCTTATGCAGACTTCAGAAATAGATGGAGAAGTGAGCTGTGCGTAACATTTCTTCTGGGTTGGGGAGGAAATGGGACCATATCGGTCAGATTAGAAGGTAGCAGTTATGTAGGATGAATATGTCTAGAGCTCTAATGCGCAGTATGAGGACTGTAGGAGATAAAGTCACGCTGTATCTGGGGCTCGTGCTCAATGGGGAGATTTTAGCTCCTCTTGCCACAAAGCAAAAACAATGAGCAGCTGTGAGATTATGGAGATGTTAACTTGCTTCACTTTCTGCCATCTATATGTATCCCATAACATCATGTTGCATAACTTAAGTACGCATAATGAAATGTATTTATCAAAAATTTCTTTTGCATGGTTACTTATGTCAGTTATAGAGCTCTGTGTATCTCACAAAAGAACAAACCTTCTTCCTCTTATCATTTTAGCCACTTTTTGCTACTAAACTGCGCATCCATGATACATGTGGGGTCCATAACCTGCACGGCTTACCTGGTGTGGTGGGAGGCCTTGCAGGCATTGTGACAATAGCCATGAAATCATCTGACATGTGAGTAAAGGGTGGGACTTTCTAACCCCCCAGGTTCCCATGGTGTTTCCTCTGCTCTGAGATCTCCCATGGTGGGGGAACACTTTCTTTGAGCATTTCAGTCCACACTTTGTAAGAAGTCTCTCCTGGAGACAAAAATAACCAAGAGAATAGCATTATATGGGAAGATAGGTCTTGATTAACATTATCATATGTGTGGGGTTTTCTAATTAACAGTTTTAATCTACTGTTAAAATGTCTCTACTATAGGTAACTTCTCCTGGCAGTGAGGCCAATACTCACCGTGAGGTCACAGTAGGCTTCTCTTTCTCTTGGTCCCACCAAAATGAGGGAGGGGGAATGTGTGATGAGTTGAGCCATTATTCTCAGGCAATTCCCACAAGAATGAGTGAGCATATTGGGACAATTTGAACTGAATGTCGCTCATGAAAAGCTAGGAAGATCATAGAGTCCAGACTACTCAGCGAGTACGTAATGAGAAATAAGAATGCTTAATTTTAAAATCCAGTGAGAAGTATGAAGAAAAGGCAAATAAGTGTCTGGAGATGCCTCAGAGTGCTCACTGACCACAATTTCATAATTTGAAAAGAAAACCTTCTCAATTTTAGCAGATTAAAGTTCAACCCACTTGGGATCAGTGATAATTAATATTTGAAAGAACTCATTTAATCATATTTTCTTTTTTTTGGAAGAGAAAGATTCTTTGCTGTAGGCTACATGCATTCACTCAAGAGACAAGGAGAAACAGAGAGAAAGAAAAGAAATTACCCCTGAGGGGAGATGGCCATGCCATAATCCATTCTTCTCCGTTCTCTGCTCAGGATTTTGGGCACACGCACACACACACACACACACACACACACACACACATATTCACAACATGAGTTTCAAGCTGCTGTGTCTAGGATTCAAACCACGGTTGGCCACATGGGAGTCCAGCATCCATATTTTCTATTAACTAGAAAGTTTGCCTCCTCCATTCTGTGTATTTTTGGACCATTACTTCTGTGTTTTTTGTTTGCTTTTGTTTTGTTTTGTTTTGTTTTGTTTCTAATCTCTTACAAATTTGGAAGACAACTCAAAAGAAATCCACTTTTTTATTTTCAGTTCTCTCTAGGATCTAACAAGCTGTTGAAACCAAACACTAAAATTTTATAATGCAAATAAAGCATGATAAAAGCATGTGTTGATGAACTCAGCTCCTAACTGGTAGAATGTGCACACTGTAAAAGGTGCCTCATGAGTAAGAATTCTTGAGCATCGTGCCTAGACTAATGCCACATATGGAATAAACAAGTCTGTCTGGCTTTTAAAGTCTGGGCCTCAATGGGTGGCCAGACCCTGGTTTAGTCTCACAGCTGAGGGTCTAGTTCTTGTGTACACAAGTTTAGCAATGCTCTCGCAACGTGGTCATGTGGAGGAGTAGGAGTAGCAAGAGAAAGGGAAACGGTAACACCTGAAGGATTACTTACCTCCGTAAAATCCGCATTGTCTTGTTTGAGATAAAATAACTTGTCTAGAGCCAAGATTATTCATATGTGTTTACTCAGAATACTATAATGCAAGCCAAGCTTTTGCTACCCATAGGACAAAGGGGAGTTAATATTCTTAAGGGACATTTTTGCAAATTATGGCAACCTAACTTAAATAATGTCATTTATTTTGTTTAACTCTATGTTTTCTAAACCTTCTTAATCACAGAACACTTTCCATCAAAAATATCTTTTAACGCCTTGTAAAAAAATGTTAATAATTCCTGTAAAATTAACAGGCAGTTTATGAAAAAAGAAAACTGAATAAGTACATATTAATTATTTAACTCACTAGTAATTAAAGAACTGCAAATTTAAACAAATTACAATTTTTTACTTACCAAATTAATAAAGAATAAGTTAATGTTAATACTGACTGGTGGCTAAAGCAGAGAAATGGAGATATAAATTAGACAATTTCCTATTTGGAAAAAAACCTTAGAACGTATATATAACCTTTTACTTATAACCTTAATTTTAGATAGATTTCATTTTAGAGAAATAATTGAACTAGTTCATAAACATGTTCAGAGAAAAATGTGTTCTCCCAGCTTTTTTTAAACTATGAAACACTGAAGCCAGCAGGTCGCATGGTGATTAAGGTGCTGGATCCCACATGACCAATTTCAAGGTTCAGTGGCCACATCAGTGGCTTGGGGAAAAAAAAAAAAGCCATGCTGGGTGCATGTGCATGCATGCCCAAAATCCTGAGAAGAGAATGGAGAATGAATTGTGGTGTGGCCATGCCCCTGTGGGGTGGGGGGAGGATTTCTCATTTTTTCTGTCTCTCTCTCTCTCCCCGTCTCTCTGTTTCCACCTCCTTCTCACCATGGGCACATATGCTCTATGGCAAAAATCAAATATATATATATAAAATATGTATATATAAATACATATATACAATGCTGGAAACAATCTAAATATCCAACTTACCTAACTATAATTATAGTTAATTTGTCTAGTGTAATACTGTACAACAGTTTAAATTATGGTCCAGATTCATATTTACTGACATAAAAGGATATTTAAGTCATATTTTATGGCATAACTGTATATTTATAAAAATACGTGGTGTTATTTTATATTTTTATTCTGAGAGGGTTTGATGGCCATTAAACATTTTTTCTTCTTTTTGCAGTTCCTAATATTTTTACAATGGTCTTATATTGCTTGTACAATTTTTTATATAGTAGAAAAGATTTAAAATTTTTAAATGAAGAGAAAAAGAAATTTGAGTTTAACACATTCTCTCTCTTGTACAATGAGGCTGAAACAAAAATAGATACTTGATTTTCAGTTGTTCACTTTCTTGGAATTATGAGAGAGGAGATGCCCATATCCCTAGTTCATTTGTCATTCGTGTTACACCCTTATACATTTCAATAGACTTTTGTCACGTTCTTCCCCAAAATTTTATTTTAACTAATTTTATTTTAAAGTAACTACTTAGAATATACTTAAATATCTATAATGAGTTGCCTTTTCGATATATAGTGAAATTAGCTTTTCTAACCATATCGATAGAATTTCAGATTTAAGGGCCAGCAGGTGATATGGTGGTTGAGGTGCTGGACTCACACATGGCAGAACTGTGGTTCTAGTCCAGACCTGAAAGTTTGCTTTCTTGCTCTCTCTGGTGAGCACATGTGCCCTGTAAGAAATTAAAAACTAATAATAATGATCTAATAAAAGTAATTAAATATTAAAAAGAATTTCAGATTTAATCATAATCATTTCTTCAGAATGGAGTGAGGAGAGACAGGAGCCTCTGTTGTTGTATATATTACTCAGCCCTTTGTGCCTAGAAGAGAGGAAGGCTTGTATTGATTGCTCAATAATTACATATTGATTGAATCATGCATTAATTTTTAAGAGCATTCTAAAGCCTTTCTGAGGAGGATCTTCTTATCGTTCCAGAAAACAAATCAAAATGTGGTTCTTGTTTAAGGGCATGTATGAATTGTTTAATTCTCAAGAGTTTCCAAGGAAATAAAAATATAAAAGAAAAGAAAAATTGTTAAAATATATATAATTTGCCAATGTGTAATGCTGCACTTTAGCCTGAAGATGGCAGACTTCCAAAGCGACCAGTAGATGAGATTTATTTCTATGTCCAGGAAAAACACTCTCCTTTGCCTTCCTAGGTCTCAGGTGGCTATGCAGGCAGCTGCACTGGGTTCTTCCATCGGAACGGCGGTTGTTGGAGGTCTCATTACAGGTCAGCATCGCGAGTCAACCCTTTCCTAGAGCTCACACTCTCAGCCTGCTAGATGATTAATAAGCAAGTGAACTGGTAAATTCAGTAATATTCTAAACTTCTAGCAGTTGAACAGTTCTGTCAATGAAAGGAAATGATTTTATAGCAGTATTTTCATTACTATGCAAGATTTCCGTCTTGGGCATGACAAAATGACTCATTTTCCTTCCGCTCTCACAGGATTAATTCTCAGGTTACCTATCTGGGGACAGCCACCAGACGAAGACTGCTATGATGATGCTGTGTATTGGGAGGTACTGTACAGCATAAACGTAAATGTAAATCGTGGCCCCACCAGTGAAAGTTTTGTTCAAATTAAACCTAGATGTCTGTGGCAAATGTGCGAGGAAGTTGGATGAACTCTACTGACAGGAGAAATTGAGTTGAGTGTCCAGCCAGACAAAATCAGAAGTATTTCCCTAAGCAAAAACATCATGAAGTAAAGCCAGAATTTGCTTGAGAAATGTCCTTTACTCTGAGAACAATGAATAAGCTACTGCAAGAATAATGGGAAAGAGCCTCAGCTTAAGTCCTGAGACTTCCCTGAATGTACCAGGCATGCACATTTGCTGACCTGGGCTGGCTGAAACTGGAAGTGGAGCGTGGCATGGAAACCCTATTGGGGTGCTTGTCTCTCTGTCTCTCTATCTCTCTCTGTTGCTATCACTCTCTCATGGAAGAAATAAACAAACTTAAAAATGGTAATAGGAGGCACTAGCAGATGGCATAATGGTTATGCTGCTGGATTCCCATGTAGCCAAGTGCAGTTTGAGACCCAGACTTGTTGGCTTAAAATTCACACTGGGCACATGTGTGTGAGTGCTCAAGGTTCTGAGAGAAGAATGGAAGACAAGGGATTGCGGCACGGCCATGCCCCCAGAGGGTGATTTCTCACTTTCTGTCTCTCTGTCTCTGCCTCTCCAGCAAGTACATGTGCCCTATAGCAAAAATCTCCCTAAATAATAATAATAATAATAATAATAATAATAATAATAATAGGAATCCTGGGCAATCATGTGCAATTCAGTACACATGGACAAAGTAGGCAGAAATATGTAAACTTGGAGAATTCAAACAAGTACAGATCAAGAGATGCCAGAATAACAAAGCATCAGACTTTCCATCCCTCAATTTCTATCTGTTTGCTTTAGTGACATTTTTTCTCCAAATTATTTGCTGCAAAGCTTGGATGTTATCAACAGGGTTTTCAGGGAAAATAGGTTTGAAGAACAAGGGATGTAGTGAGGGTGGGTGAGATCAATATTTGTGTTCTGTCACTTTTCTCCAGCTTACGCAATTTTATCCCCAGTTCTTTCTAAGCTTAGATAATCATTATCGAAGATATCTTTGTTTCAATACTAACTTCTGACAGGCCCAGTGAAAGAAATTGTTTTCCTTTCAGGTCCCTAGGAGGAGAGAACATGACGATCACTTCCATGAACACAGTGACTACAACCAACTGGAACCTGACGTCTAAGTGACATCCCTGTGCTTCTGCTTCCTTTCCTATTCCCTAACTTAAATCAATGAAAAGGAGGATCCAAAGGAAATAAGGACTTTGGTAGACAGATCTTATACTCCACATGACTAGTGTTAAAAAATGTTTTTGTCTGGTGCTCTTCTTGATGGTCAGTAATTGTTTAATTGAAGAGATGTGACTCATAAAACAGATGGTCAAATGATTCTACCCAGAACTCCTAGTTCTGTCAGTAGGTTAGGGACAGAGTGAACGTTTGATATATATTATTGCATTTTTCCCAGTAGAGGTCGATTTATGTAGAAATCGATACTTTAGAATCGTGTCAGTTTTTTAACATAAACACTATGTTTTCAATCCCCCAAATTATAAAACTAAAGCCAATGAAATCCATATAGGAAAAGTGAAGAAATGCATTCGTATATGTAAAGTAGTAATAAGATTGTTTTAGGTAGTGCTTTTTATTTTTAAAATGGTCAAATATTAATGTTACCTCTTTGCTTGAATATTCTTATTTTTAATTCCTTTGCATATTTACTATTTGCAATAAGAACTCAAAGGCAATCAGACTAAAATCTATTTTGCATAAAATTTCAAAGAATTAAAGATTTTAAAACAAAATATCAATTTTTGGTTGTCCTTTCTTTGGTGGCTGAAATTTGTTTTAGTAAAAAGCATGCATGCACGGAAACCAGCAGTTAGCGTAATGGCTATGTCGCTGGACTCCCACGTAGTCGACCACTGTTCACGTCCCGGACCCGTTGCCTTAGAATTCATGCCGGGCGCGTGTGCGTGCGTGCCCAAAATCCCGAGAGGAGAATGGAGGAGAAGGGATTGCGGTGTGGCCATCCCCCCTGAGGGGTGATTTCTTGCTTTCTGTCTCTATGTCTCTCTCTGTCTGGCGAGCGCACGTGCCCTATAGCGAAAAACCTCTCAAAAAAAAAATTTTTTTTAAAAGCATGCACGCACGCACATGAATATACACATTTTTGTATGCACATTTGTCATATTTACTCCATATTCAGTCTAGCATGCTACTTATATATTTGCTAAAAAAAGTCAAGTTAATGTCTCATGTTATAGTATAACTATGAAGAATGGAGTTTTCGAAAATGTAAACCATTATTATGAAACCATTTTAAGGAAAATTGGAAACTTTTAAAATTTTTATTTTATTAATTTGCTATAGGGTACATGCGCTTGTTGGGGGAAGAGAGAGAGAGAGAGAGGTAAGAAAGTGCCCCCCCCTCAGGTGTTAGCCATGCCACAATACCTTCTCCTCCACTCTCCTCTTGGGATTGTGGGCACACATGCACATGGGCCTGGCATTTTTTTCAAGCAACCAGGTCCTGGACTTGAACCACACAGTCCAGCCCCCTTAACCCCAATTTTTTTCTCTACCTAAAAGTTTTTAAGATTTTTCTGATTCCCTTACCTACTAACTAATCATAAGGCAACTCTTAGAGGGTCTTGGGTACATTCAGGTACCAAAAGAAGTCTATCATTTTGATACGCTAAAGATTGGGATGTGGTGTCATCAGTCTCTGACTTTGAACACTTTATCCTGACTTCCTGCAAAGAAGTTCTTATAAATGGTAAAGTCTTAATTCTTTTAAATACTGAGTTACTCTTCATTCTTTCCACATTAATTTTATATATTTATTATCTTGCCTAGAATTTAATGAAGCATTGCGATGTAAAGATTTGAGTCTTCTGCTCAGATAAATTTCCCTCTACCATGGTATTTACTGTAATGTCCTTTTCTCATCTCTCTTTTTTTTCTTCTTGCATTCCTGTACTCACATGAAAAGTATGGTGTATCTTTTATCCAAAGGTATTGTCTGTCTCATTCTCATTTCATTGGTTCCATTCATCCACTCTCCCAATACATTATTGCTTTGTTTGCTAATCATGGTCCAATTTGCAGGTCTAGCTAAATTTTATGTGAATATGCATGAGATCCAGAATGTGAAAATAGTGAAGTACTTTTGTCCCTCTAAAAAAATCCTCCATTTCCTTCTTGGGATTTACCACTATCGTTCTGTTCTCTGGTCTCCTATTTTTGGTGTTCAAGGGAAGGAAGAGATGTTTCCTCTAGTTTCTATCTAGCCCTTCATAACCTGCTATCATGAGGACGCTTTTGATGTATGGCATGTCACCCTTCCCAACCTGGTCTCCTACTACGCTGCTGTCTTCCTGTGGCATCCTCCCCCCAGTCCTGACTCTGGTCATTTTGCCTTTCTCTTGTCATTTCTGTATACTACCTATAGCACTGTGGGTTGGGGAGAGCTAATTTTAATTATGTTCAGTGGCAGCTCCCTGCCAGTTTCAGTGTCACTGTTAAAATTCATCCAAAAGCTACTTCACTGGGGTTTTCTTAAAGGGTTAAGGGGTAAAGGCCTTTTAGAGAAGTTAAACTCTTCCCCACATGTGGTAGACTGTGCTCTTCTATATCTACTCCTTAATAAAGCATGATCTCTGCTCAAAAAAAAAAAAAAAAGTCTGAATAGCCTTAATTATGTTTATAATTTTGTTTATTTGGGGTGTTATTTTTGTTCAAGATCAGATTCAAAAATCTATCCCTGCTCTATCAACACTGAAATAACATTATTTATACCTTATCTGTTCAACAGAAAAATTAAGATGTCAATGCTATTATCTTAATTGGTTGGTTTGATTAAAATAGCAAGCTCTATTCAGATGATCAATTTCAGGAAGTTTCTATTATTCTTCGTTCTTGTTAAAATCTGGAAGATTGGCTGTTGATGATTAACTACAAAATCAGAGAATTTGGTAAAAGCTGAAATATCTTCAGATTTCGGGACCAGCATATGGTGTAATGGCTATGTCGCTGGACTCCCATGTAGTTGACTGCGGTTTGAGTCCCGGACCCAGTGACTTAAACTCATGTTGGGCGCATGTGCATGCATGCCCACGATCCCGAGAAGAGAATGGAGGAGAAGGGATTGCGGCGTAGCCATTCCCCCGGGGGGTGATTTCTCATTTTCTGACTCTCTGTCTCTCTCTTTCTGGTGAGTACACGCTCCCTATAGCAAAAACCTCTCCTCCAAAAAAAAGGAAAGAAAAGAAATATCTTCAGATTTCTCCAGCTCCTGTTTCCATAGCCATTAATCTGTTTATTGCACAAGATAAGAGAGCTCTACTCATCCACAGAAAAAAAGATGGACTTCTCCAATAGCTCTACTTTGTTAGAAGCCGCTATGTTGTGTGTTCTCTTGATTCTCTTCACTCCGAGTATCTGTTAGGTGGATTGTTCATTTCCTTTTTCTATTCTCTGGGGCTTACGTCCCCACTGCTGAAGTACCTTGAATGACAACAATCTTGAAAATAAAGCACAGTTGGACCGGCCATAGCCTGATATTTAAGGGAGCCAGATACTCCATGGCTGAAAGAAGTTCAACTTCCTGTCTCTGGGGCTTGAAAAATATGCCAGGCCCATGTGCATTCATGCCCCCAAATCCCAACAGAACAGACAAATGGCAGAGAAGAGATTGTGGCATCCCATTGATGGGTGTCTTTTCCCCCATCTCCCTTTCTCTGTTTCTTACTGATGAACACATGTGCCCTCTGGCAAATAAAAAGAAGGAAAGAAAAGAAAGAGAGAGAAAGAAAGAAAAGGAAGGAAAGAAGGAAGGAAGGAAGGAAGGAA